AATACATAACTAACCATTATTAAATGATATAAATTAATACTTCAGTAAAGGAGAGACTATGTTCACTGATTAAAAAAAAATAAAAACAAACCTGTTGCCATTGAGTTGATTCTGACTCACAGAGACCCTATAGGACAGAGTAGCATCACCCCAAAGGGTTTCCACGAAGCAGCTGGTGGATTTGAACTGCTGACCTTTTTGGTTAGCAGCCAAGCTCTAAACCACTGCACCACAGGAAAACTCAATATTGCAAAGATGACATGCTCTTAAATTCAATGCAATTCTGATCAAAATCCCATCATATTTTTTGTGGAGCATGACAAGCTGATTCTAAAATTCATACAGAAGAGTAAGGGGACAAGAATACCACAGACAATTTTGAACACCAAGGTGAGGGAACATATTCAATAGTTACCAAAATATACTATAAAGCTACAGTAATAAAAACAGCATGGCTTTGGTGCAGGGACAGATAAGACCAAATGAACAAAATGAAGAGCATAAAAACATACCCATGCATATGTGAAAACTTGGTATGTGACCAAGATGGCATTATAAATCAGCAAGAAAAGGATTCAATAAATGGTCTGAACAAACTTGCTATTTATATAGAAGAAAGATAAAATTAGATCCCTAGTTCATACCATCTATAAAAATAGATCCCAGATGAATTAAAAATGAAAATATAGGAGATTCTTTTTATGGCATCAAGAAAAGATTTCTTAAACAAAAATCACTACTGTAAAGGAAAAACAATGAGAAATTAATTTTATTGCATTAAAATTTAAAACTTCTTTATGAGGAGAAACAAATAAACAAAGTAAAAAAGATAAAGTACAAACTGGAAGGAGATATTTGCAGTCCATCTAACGGATAAAGGATTAATATCCAGAATACATAAAGAATTCCTACAAATAGGAAAAAAAGAAATGAAGCCCAACAGAAAAAAATAAGCAAAGGATATGAATAGGCAATTCACAAAGGAATAAAACTAAATGGTCAATATAAAAAGATGCTCAATCTTACTAATTATCAAAGAAACACAACTTTAAACTAAGTAAGATATTATTTTACAACAGTCAGAATGGCAAGAAATAGTAAGTCTAATATACACATGTTGGAGAGGATGTGGACCAAACAGAAATTGTGGTGGGAACATAACCGATTTAAACATTTTGGAGAGCAAATTGGTAATACCTAGTAGAGGCAAAAATATGTACACCTTACATCCAGCAATTCCATGTTTAGGTATCTATCCTGGGAATACTATCCCACATGTCCTTAAAGAGACAAATATGTACAAGGAAATTCACTGAGGCATGGTTGGAAGAGTAAAAAAGGCAGGGAAAACCTATCTGTATCTTAATAACTTATTCACACAATTAAAAACTATACCGGAATTTAAATAAATGAACTATATAAATCAACAGAAATACATCTCAAAAAAAAATACTGACTGAAAAAAAGGCAAGTTGAATGATGATACATAATGACTCTATTTAAATTTTAAATACTACAAACATGATACATTATGTTTGGATATATAAACATAGGAAAAGTACAAAAATGTACTTTTACAAACTTCATATCAACTTTAGCAGAGAAACTACCTCTGGATAGAGTAAGAGAATGGATGGAAGTAGGTGTAACTTTTTAAGACATCTGAAGACATGGAAAACAATAAAATTTTTATGGTGGGCTCATAGCTGTTGTGCTATATCGTTTTCTAAACTTTCCTGTATATTTGAAAAGTTCATAATTAAAATTTTTTAAAATTTAAAGAAAATGAACAAGGACAGACAGACACATGAAGGAGGAGTCTGGCATATTCAAGAACAGTAAGTATCTGATCAAATTGGTATTTTTTAATGATGTACCTTTCAACCATTCTTTAGGTCTGCTAGAAGAGAATACAGGAAGTATTAAAGCCAAACAAACATCAACCTATATCAACATGCATTCACACAAGTAATTTAATTGACCTACACAGTGATGGCATTACACAAACACAAAAATAAGTCAACTGTGCAATGCTTTACAATTTAAAATAAGCTTTCACATCCATAATCTCAACTGATCCTCATAATAAACATGTCTAAAGAAATTGAGACTTGGAAATTGTTGAATAACTTACCTAACCTTTATTAAGCTAGCACGGTGGAACTAGGAATTATATAAATATGAATTATATTCCCACTTTATATCAAACAGTATTATCGGTTCTGATATGAATGTGTTACTTTCACCTCTCTTGACGGATTCGCAAAAACATCACAATTCTTTGCTTTACATCTGTTGAATACAGAGAGTTGAAAACAGGAGGGATAGAGGTTAAGTGATAAGCGAGGGCCTTTCCTCACTGATGGAATCAGGAAAACCCTGCTGTCACCCACATTCCCTGTCACTGCCAGTAAATCCACTGCCATCGAGTCGATTCCAACTCATGATATACATCATTGCCAACACACACCTATAAATGATAACCACTCTCCCTGTCACACAAACCTAAAACATGTTTCATTCTGAGTCCTTTACCACCTCCCAATAGCCACACCCTCTCTCCTCACCAGACATCCACTCATTCTGATCCAAAGCACTTAAAAGTAGGGAAAAAATGACTAAAACACTCTTATACCATACCAAGAACTCTTTGATGTCTAAAACTATGCTTAATGTTTTAAAATACTCCATAAATGTGTTATTCCCACCTTTTGTCTTCTTAACTCCTGATAACTGTCACACTGCCTCTGACTTCTGATGCCTAATTTTCCCTTCAATCCACGTTCTACCAGAGGCCAGGTAAAACAATTTAAGCAGTAGAGTAGGCACGCAATGTTTCCTCAACGCATCAATATTTCCCATGTCTGGGAAATTGTCTCACATACTCACCCTTTTCTGAGGGTAACTGCTCTTCCTCCCCACCCTACCCTCCACCATCCCAACTGCATTCAGTAAGAACTGGTAATCACAGTACCCAAGCTTGCTCAATCTAGGTCCCACCCCAGGGTTTTTGAATTAGAAAAAAAAAGATTCTTTTCCTCCCCAACCCCCCCAACAATTCCACCCCCACTCACAAGTGGGAGAAATCAGCCTACAGTAGAACAATGAGGAATCGTGCAGAGAGACCATACATGCAGCATCCCACATAGAGCCTGTCCCTTTAGCTCACTGGTTACCTGAGTCAAGCAACTGTTTTCACCTAAGATAGCTAGAACTGAATTTCTGAAACTTGCAACCAAAAACTTAAGGAAGTGTTCAACAAGGTCCTTAAGAAAAGTAAGTCAAAGAAATAAAGGACAGTACTCAGTACTGATTAGTCTTTAAGTAAATAAGTGAGCCCTTAAATAACAAAGACCATAAAACAAAAGTCTGAAATCCTAAAATGAACATAATTAACACAGAAATAAACTCTAAAAACCTATTTTTAATATGTGGCACTTGTTTAAAAGCAGGCCTACTCCAAAAAATCATGATCCAGATGGCTGTGTATGTGCCACATAAATATATACACATTTATCTATTCTGATTGCTGAATTTTGAAATATAATTTAGCACACATATGCATTCCTAATGCATAAACCAACAATAAAGCTGAAAGGTGATTCATTTTCTTCTGGTGGAATACCCTACAGCATGATATATGGTGATGTTGCTTTGAACAAGATACTGAAACTAACCTATTCTTTTGCCACTCGCAAGAGCAGACCATCATTGACCATCTTCCTGGTGAAAACTGGCCATTCATTCTGATCACATAACCAGGTTTTAATACATAATAGAAAATGATGACACCTTTCACCCCTTGGTTACCAAATTTCCATTAAAAGTTTCTGATGAAGGACTTTTATCAAAATGCTTCCAGAAAGTCCGAATGAATTAGAACCACTTAGATCATTTAACCTGTTTCCCCAACCAATCCCCCTCAGTGTTTTTTCCAGTGTTGCATCCAATCCAATTTGGAGAAACTAAGATAAGGGGCTTTCTTTCACCTGTGAAGAAAAAGTGAACAATCCAAAGTATGGGCTATAGCTTCATCTGCTACTGAGAGCTTCTGCAGTCCTGGACCAACTGTAATGAGATGGAAGTGAGGCTTGGGAGCAGCCCTCTCCGACAGCAACCAAAAACTCTTCGCTGCTGAGTTGATTCTGACTCAATGGTGACCCCATATGTGCACAGCAGAACTGCTCCATAGAGTTTTCTTGGCTGTAATCTTTACAGAAGCAAATCGTCAGACCTTTCTTCCACAGTGCACTGGGCGAGTCTGAACGGCCAGCCTTTAGGTTAGTAGTCAAGGGGAAACCGTTTGCACCCCCTGGGGACCTTCCAAGACCCACAGACCCCGGAAAACTGAGGGTTATTAGGGAGTAAAACCTGTATTCTTGTTTATTCGTCTTCTTGAAACACAGCCACATGCACTACTAATTGCAGCCTTCTCTGGATTTTCATTTCTAATTCAGAAAGTACCAGAACACACTGGATTAAGAGAGAAGCTGAAGGCTAGGCTGTAGAATACTCTTGCCTGACTAAAGTACTTCCGGTATTATTCACACAAAGAAAATTACTTTCTGTCTTAACAATTTAAAGGAAAAAGCAAAGTTCTAACATAAGAAATCCTTCAGACACTTTGAGGAACATCAGCTTTATAAAGCTCCAAAAACTCTCTCATGCAGATTTCATTTTTTAAAATGGGAGTCATTAACTATCTCCCGCTGAAGCTAACACCTCTCACTACTATTCTACGATGATTTAAGTACTGGTTTCTTATCATTATACCTCCTGCCGCTGTTCCAAAGGCAGACAATGCATAAATACTAATCACAACTACTTATCATTTCAAACACTGGGACTAGGAAAGGGACCACCCAGGCCTCACCTGAGAGGGCGTGGGCATCTCAAGTGGGCAGTGTGTAATAAGCTACATGCATTACAGAATTCAGAGAACAAAGGGAGTGTTTGCACAACTCTGCAGAAATAACCACCAGCACAAGCGAGTCTCTTACCAGCATGTCTGTGGCACTGAGATAGTGCTTGCTGGCCATGCACTGCTCCAGCTTTTGAGGCACTTGTTTGATATTCTCAATTTCATCCAGCAGGTTCAGGACATGCTTATGTTCAATTCCCTCAATCCACAGTTTCCGAAGCTCATCCCGTTTGCAATGCAACAGCATCTTGCATGAGAGAAGATTCTCTTTTACCTACAATGAAACAGAGTCAGTCTTGGGTCAGTCCAAAGTCTTGCAGCCTAAACCCGTAAGGAACCTGGTTAGTATTCCTCACTGGTACTTGCATATGTAATTCGCGCTCCCACTTAATCTGCTTGGTTGGTCGTCTTGCAAAATTTTAATCCTGGTTCTGACTCTAACTCACTTGGATGGGTCTTCGCCTCTCTGGGTCTGTAGTTTCTCTCCTGTGAAATGAGAAAACTATTCCAGACCTACCTTTGAGCAAATCTAGAAAAAATTACGAAGGATATAAAGCACTCTGAAAATACAAGTACCACATAAATGCTAATGTATCCAAAAGGAAAATCACTGATATGCGAGTCTATGCTCTTTTTCCTTCTCCACTCTGCCTTGCAGATTTCCTGTCCACCTGACAGAAGACCACTGGGTCCATCCTTCAGCTCTAGAACTTCAGCTGAAGTGCCCAACAAGGAAATGGGTATTCATCTCAACTGACTAAAATAAAAATAAACCTAGTTTCTAGAAAAGAGCAGACACATCAAGAGATAATCCCAAAATTAAAGGAACTTGGACATATCTAGGACTAAATTATTTTTTGCTGTGTATTCTGAATTCTAGATATTAAATAGGACAATCTCCGGCATCCCCATAGATTGGCAGAGTAGAGGGATGAGTGCAGGTCCACTGTGACAAGATAAAAGGGGAGGAGAGGAGCAGGAGGAGTGGCCACAGGGCACAGGATTAGAGGAAGTTTTTATTTTCTACCCTAATTAAAATTTTTCAATTTTTACAACACGGAAAAATAAAAAGAACCGCGACCTTTCACAATTCACAAGACTGCTTTCATACACTTTTGACAGTACTAACATGTATTTTAAGGAGCCCTGGTGGCACAGGGGTTAAGTGCTCAGCTGCTAACCAAAAGGTTGCAGTTCAAATCTACCAGCCGCTGCAGGAGAAAGATGTGGCAGTGTACTTCCATAAAGATTGCAGCCTTGGAAACCCTATGGGGCAGGTCTACTCTGTCCTATAGGGTCATTATGAGTCAGAATCGACTCTACAGCAATGGGTTTGGTTTTCTAACATGGATTTTTACTTAAATTAGAATTCAATATTTATTTACAGTTCGGTTTCCGGTTTTTGTTTTGAGGTAAAATTTACCCATAAATACATCTTAAGAGTACCATTTGATGGGTTTTAGCAGATGCAAACACCTGTATCACCCAAACCCTCGTCAATATGTAGGGCATTTTCCAAGACATGGAAAGGGCCACATAAACCAGAGACTGCATCAGCCTGAGACCAGAAGAACTAGATGGTACCCAGCTACCACCAATGACCGCCCTGACAGAGAACACAACAGAGAGTCCCTGATGGAGCAGGAGAAGAAGAGTGGGGTGCAGAACTCAAATTCTAGTAAAAGACCAGACTTAATGGTCTGAGACTGGAGGAACCCCAGAAAGCATGGCCCCCGGACTCTCTGTCAGCCCAGAACTAAAACCGTTCCCGACACCAACTCTTCAGACAAAGATTAGACTGGACTATGGGACATAAAAAATGATACTCATGAAGAAATGTGCTTCTTAGCTCAAGTAGATACATGAGACTAAATGGGCAGCTCCTGTTCAGAGGTGAGATGAGAAGACATAGAAGGTCAGGAGCTGGTTGAATGGACACGGGAAATCAGGGGTGGAAATGAGGAGTGTGCTGTCACAGTATAGGGAGAGCAATTAGGGTCACATAACAATGTATGTATAAATTTT